ATAAATTATAATTAATAGGAAGTTAAAATTTAAAATTCATAAAACATAGAAGCCTAATAATAATTAAAGATATAATTACAAAAATATGCACAAAATTGTGAAAGGTTTCTAGTAAGTGTGGAAGGTTGAGAAGACAAACCTAAAACCAAAGAAATGAATTTCTAGAGTCAGAAAGGAGGTCTCAAAGAAGTCTCATGAAAATTAGCCTCCTCCTCCTTCTTGTCATATATTGTACCTCTTTATCTCTGTGTTGTATTTTTAATTACTTTCTCAGACCTAATTTCCAATTTATTAATTCTCTTTTCAGCAGGATCTGGTCTACTGTTCAATCTATCTACTGAATTATTTTATTTCAAGGACGATTAGAATTAATTGACTTTTTCATTCTCTAATGTTACTAGCACTTTTTTTATTCTTTAATTCTTTGAATATATTTAATCAATCTCTTTATGTTTATTTATTATCATTTTAAGATAAAAATTTCCCCTTTGTATATTCAGTGATTTTCCCTTAAGGTAGTTTATTCATTTGAGATGTTTGTAATTTTTATAAGTAACTTTAAAACACTCAAATGAGGTACTTAAAATCAAACTTGATCCAAAAGTTGAGCAAAAATGACATGGTAAACAAAGGGTGGAATTAAATAGTTCTAAGGCCTTTGTATTCCTGTCTTTAGAAGGAAGAAAAAATTAATGTTACAGTCTCTTAAATTAAGATAAATTAAGTTTGTATGTTACAAGTTTGAGGTTAACCACCAAAAGAATATAAATAAAACGTATAATTTCAAAACCATAGGGGAAAATAAAGAATTTTAAAAAATCAATAAAGTCAAGAGTAAGAAGAAAACAAGAAAATAGAGATGCACACTAAATATAAAACGCAAATCCAAGTGTTTTAGCACTCACAATATTACACGCAGATTAAGCTCATCATTTAAAGTCATAGTTGGTCAGTGAAATTGAAAGGGAAAAATTCAGCATAATGATACCAAAAATCAAACAAACAAACAAAAAACCACCAATCAAAGCAAAGTGACATCTAAAGACTGAAAAATAGGGGGAAGGAATTTAATAATGGAAGGGATTTAAAAAACTCTGATTCAGTCACATGATAGAGTGCTATACAGCAGCTAGAGATAAATGATCTCTCCATAAGAATTGGTATACATATACACACTGATACTGTATATGAGCCCATTAGCATACTTTTTGAAAATGGCATTGAATATAAAAGATTCAGAAGTACACATCAGTATAGTAGTGTTTGTGTGATACTTTAAAAACATACAAAACAATAGTGAATCCTGTTCATGGGTTTGTAGGCCTTTAACACTAAAAATATAGAATTGACAGATTCACACCAAATTCATGAAAGTAGTTTCCTTTCATAAAAAGGAAAAAACAAAGATAATTTCAACTTTATACAGTTTTATTTTTACCAAAAAGGAATGAATAATATTAATAAAGCAGTAATAATACTAATAGGTACATTACTGGGTGAATTTCCCATAATGCTGCATTAATTTAATTTGAAGGACCAGTTTTTATTCTTAAGTATTTTGTAGATAGGGGTCATTAGAAATTTATGAATGTAGTGTTTATTTGCACAGTGAATAATATTAAAAATTGCCATCATATCAATTTCTCAAACTTATTTGAATCCTGAAGTTTTAAAGCTTTAAAATCATTGAATAGGACTTGGCCTTGGTTGTCACATCAAGTATCATTTTTTACTCATTATTTTGAAATGCATTCCTCCCATGTATTTCATGGTTTTGGCTAAGTGATGATTTATAGCTGAAGAATTTCCCACATTCATTACATTCATAAGGTTTCTATTCAGTGATGTCTTTGGTGTTTCTTCAAGAATGAATCATGCCTGTAAGCTTTTCCACAGTGATCTCACTCATAGACGTTCACTCCTGTATGAACAGTTTTATGGTTGTTAAAGTGTATCCTCTGCCTAAAAGCTTTTCCATGGTCTTTATATTTGTAAAGTCTCTCCTCACTATGGAGTGTCTGGTGGTGAGCTAGATATGTTCTATGTCTAAAAGTTTTACAACATGCAGTGCATCCATTCCTTCTTCCTAGTTTGAATTCTTACATGTTCACTAAGGTGCCTAGTCTATGGGAAGGTTTTCCCACATTCATTTATAAGTAAAGGATTTCTCTCTAGAATGAGTCCTCAAACATTAGGCCAAGCTAGTGTTCTGGCTGAAGGCTTTCTAACATTTATCACACACCTAAGGACCAGAGTGAGTTCTGTGATGCTGAATAAGTGCTGACTGATGTGTGAAGGTTTTGCCACATTCCTCACTTTCAAAGAGTTTCTCACAGGTATGGATTCTCTGGTGTACATTAAGAGATGCACTTTGACTAAAGGCCCTTCCACATTCCTTACACCTGAAAGGTTCTCACCAGTATGAATTCTCATGTGTTCAGTAAGGTTAATGGTTTGTTTGAACATTTTTTCATATATATTACATTCATAGAATTTGTTCTTATGCAACTTATTGGATGTTTAATTAAATTTAATTTGTACTTACTCCTCTTTCCATCATAATGCCATGATATAAGTGTTCCTGGATGCCATGATATAAGTGTTTCTGGGATATGTCATTCTTTGCAATTGACTTCCTGGTTTCTGTTTTACTTCTCACGTCTGTTCTGGGATCTTCTAGGACTTCTCTCTCACTCATGGTTCTCCTTTCTCCAACAGGGGAATCTCATTAGCCTTGGAAAGTTGATATCCTGCCAGTGACATCAGGTTCTAGTAGTTCTCCAGCATCTCCTCCTGGCATAGATTCCAGTGAGCAGGGGTCAGGAGCCCCCACTCCTCCTGGGTGAAGTCCACAGGTGTGTCCTTGAAGTTTAACAGTTCCTGCCATTCTGCTGTCAGGTGGCCGGGCACCACTCCATCCTCTAAACTCTCTCCCTGGGACTCATCAGCATTCCAAGATACAGCCTTCCCTTCAAACACGTTAGTCACATCTTCCCACAGGGTGCCCCCTGCTGAGCCTTGCATGAGTGGTGCAACTTGCAACTTTACCCTTGTGCTGGCCAGTTGGGCAGTGATCAGGAGCTGCTGCTGTGGCTTGAGGATGCCTGCTGACCAGGCCAGTCCTCTTCTGCTGAGGGAATTGCTGCCACCTCTGAAGAAGACTTCTTCAGCTCACCACCTCCTGCCCTCAGGAGTTTGGCATGTCCCTGCAGCACAAGGACCTGGTGGCTCCTATAGGTCAGTGTGACTTTTAATAACTGAAAACCAGGCTGTTGCTCTGGGAGGTGAGTTGGTTTAAGTACAAGCTTCTGTACTCTTCTAGAGAAGGAATGGCAGGAAAAGAGGGATCCAGAAGTTCCTCTGTCCATAACTCCAGAACCTGCAGACATAGATCAGCCTCAGACACAGGACAAGCAGAGACAGCACACTGTCAGCAGAAGTTCCTTTAGAGGGCCAGTTACAGAGTCTACTCTCTGCTGGCCTTTTATGGACAGATCACAGAGCCCGGCACTCATATAGACTTCCCTCAGAAGCCAGAGGATGCCTGGTCTCCACACTGGGTCAGGGTCTTTTCCAAATTTTGATCCAGGGCCCACCAGGGAGGGCTGGAGGGGCACCCTGAGCTGTCTGCTGCCTGCCTCTGTCTCCCAGATGCACCCTCCCGACCACCACCCCAAGTGGTCTATGTTGACGCTGCCCAGTGGCTCGGCTTCCCCAACATTAACAGGTACATTTAAAGAGCATATTAAGCCGAGTGTGGTGGTGCATGCCTGTAGTACTGGCTACTCAGGAGGCTGAGGCAGGAGGATCACAAGTTCAAGGCCAGCCTGGACAACTTAGCAAGACTGTCTCAAAATAAACATATAAGATTAAATAAATAAAAGGATGGGTATGTAGCTCACTGGTAGGGTGCTTGCCTAACATGTGCAAGGACCTGGGTTCAAATCCTCTGTACCAGAAAAAAAAGAACACATTTGATGTGCATATGTATCTACAAACTGGCAGAGAAGGCAATAATATCCCCACCTGGAGATGTGGCCAAAGCTGCACTTAAATCTATAAACGAGGCATAGTGGTGCACACCTGTAATCCCAGCACTGGGGACGCTGAAGCAGAAGGATTGGCACAATTTCAAGGCTAGCCTGGGCTACTTACTGAGTTCAAGGCCTGCCTCAACTACATAGCTAGACCTTGTCTCAGCGTCCCCATACTATAGTCTTAAATGCTTTTACATTCAGTAGCTAGAAAACTGAAATCAAACAAAGGGAAGGAATACAAAAGGATAGATCTACAAAAGCAGAACTTCCAGAATTTAATAATTTTAAAAAGTGAGAAAATAAATAAATCCAAGAATTAACTTCACTTAAGAACAAAAAAGAGATGGAGTACTAATTTGAATTATTTAATAGCATCAGTAAATCAGTAGCTACAAGAAATGACGACCATATCTGGGAGTGGCGGCACACGCCTGAAATCCAGCGCCCTGGGAGGCTGAGAGACTGCAAGTTGCAGTCCAGTCTGGCTGAGCTAGCAGCTCAGCAAGACCTTGTCTCAAAATGAAAAGGGCTGGAGGTGTGGCTCAGTTCCACAACCGTGGGTTCAATCCCTAGTGGCAGGGAAAGTGGGAGTTGGAGGTCAAAAGAAAGGTTGAATTAATTCACATCTCCGCCCTCGGCCACGCACTATCCTGTGAGGCAGCTGCACGACCCTTTGAGAGGATTTAAATTGTTCACGGCCTAGGATTCCCAAGTGTCTGGGTTTTAGTTCATGTTTTTAAAGAAGGCACTGCCTTAATCTCTGCTCGCCACCTCTGACCTGGAGGTACCTGTAGCCTTTGCGACACCGAGCCTTTCCTTCTCCACAGTCGAGACGCTACTGACCACACTCCTGAGCCACACACTCCGGCGGCCCCAACAGCCAGACACAAAGCAGCCAACGCGCAGATGCGGAAACGCTGCTCACGCAAGGCCGCTGGTGGCTGTGACGCAGAGATACCCGCTGCGCTCCTCACTGTCTAGTTATCAGTGTCTGAGAGGGCGCGCAAGATGCTTCTTCCGCATTTAACGCTTTTCTGGAGCAGAAAACAAGAGCTATAACAGCTGTGTGGTGTTTGGTTGTTTTGGTGGAGACAGAGGCCAAAGAAACCACAGAGCAGTCTAAGTTGTAGTTCTTCTCTCCCTTATATAAAGTTCACAGAAACAGGTGCACAGTGTTTGTTTCCTCTGGGTATACAATAAAGCCTCTTTGTTTCTGTGCTAATACTTATTATTTAATCACTTCTGTTTCATTCAGAATAACGCCGGGACTTAAGCTCTGAATGAAGTTACTCTGGCCTTGATGGGACTCAGCGCTGGAAAACTGTGCTATCCGGTGAGACTGGAGCCCTTGCACAGTGTTGGTAGAAATGTAAGTATAACCATGGAGGTTCTTCAAAACACCAAGTATAGAGCTGTCAGGATCCAGCGGTCTCACTGCTGGGCTCACACCTCAAGGATACGAAATCAGGACACTGAGGAGCTCTCTGTGTTGCCCTACTCTTAAGAGCCTTATTCCCAAGAGCCAAGATATGGAGTCAACTTGAGTGTTTATCCACAGGTGACTGGATAAAGAAAACATGGCATTTACCCAATGCAGTATTATTCAGCCTGCAGAAAAGAACATTGTCATTTGCAACATGGATGATCCTGGAGGACATGAAGCCAGGCACAGAAAAACAAATGTCACATGATCTCGCTTATATATGAAGTGAAAAATAAATCACAGAAACAGAGGCTGAAGTGGTGGAAAGATTAAGAATATGTTGGTGGAAGGAGGGAAAAATTTAAGAGATATAGTGTACATCATGGTTACTACAGTTAAGAAGCCAGGTGGGATGGTGCACTCAACAATTCCAGGACTCTGAGAGGCTGAGGCAGGAGAATCCCAAATTTGAGCTCAGCCTGGGCAACTCAGTGACTTAGCAGGACTCTGTCTCACAATAAAATACAAAAAGGGCTGGGGATGTGGCTCAATGAGAACACCTTGGGTTCAATCCCCAGTACCATAAAAATACATGATATATTTATACAATATATAAATATATTATATCTTTACATGTATTTATTAGTTTAAATCACTTTAATTCTTTGTAGCTGTATTATATAAATTCAATGTATTATCCTCTGACAGCCTGGTTTCCCATTTATATTGTAACATATTATACCATATAGCCTCACTATAAAATATATATTTTATATACAATATATAAATATATT